AAAAAAAAAAAAAAAAAAAAAAAAAAAAAAAAAAAAAAAAAAAAAAAAAAAGAAAAGAAAAGAAAAGAAAATGGTTGAATGTCGCATGGAAAGTTACTTTTAGAGATGGTTATCCACAGCCAGGCGTGGTGGTTCACTCCTGTGATCCCAGTACTTTGGGAAGCCAAGGCAGGTGGATCATGAGGTCAAGAGATCGAGATGGTTATCCAGACACCTATAATATTACATTGTCCTTTTGACTATCTATATCAATAAATTAACCAACATTTTATGACCTGACATGGCCAGGCACAGTGCTGGATGCTCATGATTCTCAAATAATTCTAGCCGGACCTTGTCCTCAAGAAGCTTCTGAGCAGGTTGAGGGGATGCAAAACAGATAAATAGTACTAATTCAGGAGGAATGTGTTAAATGCATGACAACTACCACTAGAATTCAGAGGAGATGAAATTTTGTTGGAACAGAGACTAAAGGAAGGAATTCTGCATGTGGTGGCATTTTGGCTGGACCTATTACAAAAGGTATGCTTCCCCCTGACAAGCCAAGAAAGTGGGGATTAAGGTAGAAGAAAAGAAAAGCTTTGAATTCATGGAATATTAAGGTTTTACTTGGCTGAAGCATAGGTTACAGTAGGAGGAGATGGACTTGGAAGGATTGCTATAGGCAGAGAGGAAGCGCTGAACTCATGGGGAGGCTATGATTTGGGTTAAAGATAGAGCTGGGTCATGACAGCATGGATCCTGAAGCAGTAAAAAATCCAAGAAAATTGGCAGGCAGCAGGGTCTAGGATGAAGTTCAGGAGGAAAGTCCACGGTCTAGGATGAGAGGTCCTTAGGAGGCTCTTAGGACAGATAAGGTAATAGGTCTCAAAGAGAATGACAGAAATGCAATGAAAAGGGAGAGATTGTAAAGCTAGAAGGCTCAGGAATTGCCTCTTGATTAGGTGAGGAAGGCAAAGGAGAATCAGCCCTGGAAGAAGACAGTGAGATTTTAATCTGCGTGACTGGAGGGACAGGGATCCTGGGCACAGACAGAAGGAAGTTGAGAGGAACACCATGTTTGAGAATGGTGACTCATATTTGAACAAGCCAGCAATGCCCAGGAGACAGCTGGAAAAGTGAGGCTGGAGATACATTCAGCAGTGAAGCCAGAGCAATCTTTACCCTTCTTCACCTGGGAGAGCCAGTAAGTCACGGCTAGAGTCTGTGTGTCCAGCATGTGAGGGTAAAGAGGGAAGCAAGGAGAGCTGGGAGCCCAAGAGTGAAGTTTTTGCCAAAAGGCACGAGAGGAAAATCGATGTAGCACCGTATACTTTTTCACCTATGCTCACCAAGCCCAGGGACGAGGCTCACTGAGACGAGTTTGGAAGAGAATGCTGGAGAGAAAGTGGTCAAGAAAACTGCCATTATTGAACCTCTTGGGCTAACTTTGATTGTAAGTCATGGAACAATCAGAGCCTATGAGGAGACAGCCATCCTGGCTATTCTTCCCATGTCAATAGTGAACACGTGCAGATCTTCTTTCTTTTCTTTCTCCTTTCCCCTCTTCCTTTCTCCTCCCTCCCTGAATACTCTTGCTTTTTTTTTTGGACTGGTCTAGAGCATGGGTGGCCATTGTCGTCCAACAGGAGGGGCCACTGTTGCCAACAAAGCGTAACAGTCTTTCTTCTCAATATTTATCTGTATCTAATATTTATTGTCAATACTGACTACGGAGACAGCTCCCTGTGCTTCAACAATGCAATATTGGGGGTCTTTCAAATCATACAAATATATATTTGCATGACAGCTTCATTGACATTTTTATGACTTTCTCCTTCTTTCTTTGTACTGATCTCAAGAGCCACTCATAAATCTCTCAGTAACTGCATAGTGTCCCAGGGCCAGAGACCGGTCACTCCTGGCATTGTGTAGAGTCATTTAATATCCACGGTGGTGACTAATGTCTGGCAACAAAGGCTCCATTGGGTGTCATGTGTCCTGGGACCCTGAGCGTGGGCACTCTAGGAGCACCTCATTATTGCTTGTTAGTACTGTGGTCAAGAGAAAAGTTGAGAAAGTGGTCAGGAGGGTGGATCCACACGAACCCCACTGGGACATGAGAGACCTCATTCCTGATCACTGTCAGTGCAACCTCAAATCTTAAAATCAGTTTAAAACAAAGGTATCTACCTTTATCTTATGTTCATATCCTAGGCTTTTAATAATATGTATTTTTCACATGTTTACAGAAAGCAATCAACTGAGCTATTCGTGGAAAGGTTTGTGGGTTTGGTTAAAGAAGTGGAGGAGTATTACATTTCAGCTGGAAACACATCCCTAGAATGCCAAAACATTTATTCCAAAGTCTGGTTTCCTGGTGCAATCGGAGGCATGGCAATGCCTGTGTTCAGAGACTGGGAGCTAGGGCCAGTAAGGCATTTGATCCACATGGATCCCAGAAGGCTTTTATTGTTAAATTATATTCTTTCGGAAAAACCACCCATGTCCTATTTTGTAAACTTGATATCCATACACTTTTGACTGGCAATCTATTTTAGCCGTAAGACTATGATTCACAGCAAGCCTGTTTTTCCTCTTGCTTGGGGTGGCAGCGGAAAGCATAGGGCACTTTCCAGCCTCCAAGGGTAAGGGGCAAAGGTGCTGGGGTTTCTCCTCCCCAGGAAAGCTTTCTCTGGCTGTGCCACGCTGCTCCCTGTGAGCAGACAGCAAATCTCCCCTCACTCCCCACTGCCATTCATCCAGCTCCGTGCAGTAGCCCAGCTGCGTGTCTGCCGGGAGGGGCTGCCAAGTGCCCTGCCTACTGGCTGCTTCCCGAATCCCTGCCATTCCACGCACAAACACATCCACACACGCTCTCTGTCTAGTTCACACACTGAGCCACTCACACATGCGAGCACATTCCTTCCTTCCTTCTCACTGTCTCGGCCCTTGACTTCTACAAGCCCATGGAACATTTCTGGAAAGACGTTCTTGATCCAGCAGGGTAGGATTGTTTTGATTTCTCTCTCTGTAGCTTTAGCATTTTGAGAAAGCAACTTACCTTTCTGGCTAGTGTCTGTATCCTCGCAGGGAGATAAGGATTGCTGTTCTCCATGGGGGTATGTGTGTGTCTCCTTTTTCTTTCAGGACTTGTAGGATTCTTTGTGCCATTTGCATATAATTTGGCAGGTTCAGATTTTTTTAAGAGCCCTATGAAGTGCTTTTTGCATGTGTTTTAAAAAGGCATTTGAAAATTGAAAGTGTGATTTATGTAAACTAAATCATCTGTAAAAAATTGCTTTGGAAAGTAATGATAGCTGGCCGTAAAGGGAAATATCTGTGATGCACCTAATGTGTTTTTAACCCTTTATTTGCTGACAATCTATAGTTATTAATGCTAAACTGGATTTTGGCTTCATACTAAATCAGCTACCTTTGCGTATTGTCCAACAAGGGTCTGTTTTTGTAAGAATGAGATAAAATGTATACTTGATATAAAATATTCAAAAATGTAACTATTAGTAAGAGTAAGCTTGGCATTTAGGTATACCATGAACACTTTGTCAGATACTCTGTTGGGTGTTAGGGATAGCAATTAAAACAAAATATTGATAGTTGTATCAGAGTCTATTAGGCTACAGCAAAGGAAGTTTATTAAAAAATATAAACTATCCAAGATGATAGATGCATGATATACTTCCTGTAACTTTTGTCTCCTTAATGTATGTCTCTGTGTGTGTGCATGCTTAACTTTTAATTCAGTTAAAAACTTTTTTCTATTTGTTTTTCATCTGGATATTTGATTCTGCATATCCTAGCCCAATTGAACGGATAAGACTGAGTTGTAGGACTAAAGAATAGACACGCAGAAATGCATTTTAAAAATCTGTTAGTTGGACGAGACTGACTATGTAACATAATTGCCAAAGCTTTGGTTCATGACCTGAGGTTATGTTTGGTATGAAAAGGTCACATTTCACATTCAGCTTTCTGAAGTTTTGGTTGCATAACCAACCTGTGGAAGGCATGAACACCCATGTGTGCCCTAACCAAAGGTTTTTCTGAATCATCCTTCACATGAGAATTCCTAATGGGACCAAGTACAGTACTGTGGTCCAACATAAACACACAAGTCAGGCTGAGAGAGACTGTCAGAAGGTTGCGGAAGGGTCCACTTTGGGAGCATTTTGCAGAGGAAGAAACTGAGGTCCGGGCAGGTTGCATTCTCCTGATGGCAAAATGCAGCTCTTCCTATATGTATACCCTGAATCTCCGCCCCCCTTCCCCTCAGATGCCCCCTATCAGTTCCCCCAGCTGCTAAATATAGCTGTCTGTGGCTGGCTGCGTATGCAACCCCACACCCCATTCTATCTGCCCTATCTCGGTTACAGTGTAGTCCTCCCCAGGGTCATCCTATGTACACACTACGTATTGCTAGCCAACGAGGAGGGGGAATCAAAACGAAAGAGAGACAAACAGAGATATATTGGAGTCTGGCACGGGGCACATAAGGCAGCTCCCAGGAGAAAGCCGGCCCCTGGACTCGTCTTTTGCATTTATTTTAAGCCCGGTCTTCCCTGGGCTACCTTTAGCAGATCCTCGTGCGCCCCCGCCCCCTGGCCGTGAAACACAGCCTCTATCCAGCAGCGACGACAAGTAAAGTTCAGGGAAGCTGCTCTTTGGGATCGCTCCAAAACGAGTTGTGCCTGGAGTGATGTTTAAGCCAATGTCAGGGCAAGGCAACAGTCCCTGGCCGTCCTCCAGCACCTTTGTAATGCATATGAGCTCGGGAGACCAGTACTTAAAGTTGGAGGCCGGGGAGCGCGGGAGCTGGCGGAGCGCGTTCGTCCCGGGACTGCACTTGCTCCCGTCGGGTCGCCAGAGTCCACCGGACCCGCCGGCTCCCGGGGCAGGGCCGGGGCCTGAACTCGTGTCGCGTCTCGGCGGGACATGAGCTGCGCCGCCTCTAACCGCGGGCTGTGCTCTTTTTCCAGGTGGCCCGCCGGCTTCTGAGCCTTCAGCGCCGCGGGGACCGGATCTGCGCCCTGCCGGCGGCCTCGGACCATGACCATGACCCTTCACACCAAAGCGTCCGGGATGGCCCTTCTGCACCAGATCCAGGGGAACGAGCTGGAGCCCCTGAACCGTCCGCAGCTCAAGATCCCCCTGGAGCGGCCCCTGGGCGAGGTGTACGTGGACAGCAGCAAGCCCGCCGTGTACAACTACCCCGAGGGCGCCGCCTACGAGTTCAACGCCGCGGCCGCCGCCAACGCGCAGGTCTACGGCCAGTCGGGCCTCCCTTACGGCCCCGGGTCCGAGGCGGCAGCGTTCAGCTCCAACGGCCTGGGGGGGTTCCCCACGCTCAACAGCGTGTCTCCGAGCCAGCTGATGCTGCTGCACCCGCCGCCGCAGCTGTCGCCCTTCCTGCAGCCCCATGGCCAGCAGGTGCCCTACTACTTGGAGAACGAGCCCAGCGGCTACACGGTGCGCGAGGCCGGCCCGCCGGCGTTCTACAGGTACCCGCGCCCGCTCCGCCCGTCGGGGTGGCCGCCGCGTCCGGCGGGAGGGAGGGAGCCGGGGGAGCCGGGGGAGCCGCGGGAAGCGAGACCCGAGGGCGCGCGCAGGGAGCCCGGGGCGCGCAGCCCGCCCGGGGGTTCTGAGTGCAGCCCGCCTTGCGTTCAGAGTCAAGTTCTCTCGCAGGGCAGCTGAAAAAAATGCGCTCTCCGCCTTTCTACAGTCGGTGCGAGAGGCAGACCTGAACGCCCGGGGCTTCCTAACTAAAGACACGTTGGAAAACCAGACAAAGCAGCAGTTATTTGCGGGGGAAAACACCTCCAGGCAAATAAACGCGGGGCGCTTTGAGTCACTTGGGAAGGTCCCGCGCTTGGCATTTAAAGCTGGGGTTGTTTGGAGTTAGCGGAGCTCCGCAGAGTTTTATTTAGCCTTTTAATGTTTTTGTTTAATGTGTTCCCCAAATTTCCTTTCATCTGGACTCTTTGATTGGAAATTTGTCCGCTGTGATGACTTACTGGGAAGCGATCCTCCTCCTCCCCACCCCATGTCCTGGGGCCTTAGAAAGCGATGGGAGTTGAATGGGTCACAGCAAGTTTCTGATTTCGGAGTTAGCTGGCTGAGTCCGTGCTGGAGCCGGTGGCTGGCATGTGACTTCTGACAGCCGGAAATTTGTAGGTGTCCCGCGATTTTAAAACTAGCCATATGGAAGCCTGAGTGCTTAAAAATAATCTCCCGCCAGCCCAGGGACGAGCCTGTCCCATCTGGGGAGAATACCCCGGAGTGTCCTACGGGGTCAGCGGGGTCTGCGCCTCGCAGCCACTGTGGAAGGAGCGCGGCCAGTCCAGGACATAGGAGAACACTTCATGACTTCAATGTGAAGGCTTTATATCCTCCTTTTCATTTTTTTTCCAACAAGAATTGTTCTGTCTCCCTCTTCCATTCCTCCCATTTTCCCTTGCCCAGTTTCTCCTTTTTTTTTTCTCTTTCCTGATGGGCCTGCAGAGGGATTAGGTGGGCGTTTCCGGTGAACACCTGCCTAGGTGGCCACAGGACAGGTGTACCCTGGAATGGGTTTGGGAGCTTCAGGGCACCACATGGCTGGTGCAGAATTAGGCATTTCCCAACTGTACACTGGTGTCTGGACTGGTGTCCCCATATCTTTCTGCTTTGTAAGCCGTGGACCATTTTTTGTTCAGTGTTCTATTTCCAGGGATATTTATAGCAGAAGGAAGGGGACTAAGGTGCAGGTTGGTGCCAGAAGGTGCTGAAGGGCAGATTCTGGGGGTATCCAGCGTGCATCTTCAGCCACCTTAGAGGAATTTAGAACATCCCACAGCCACACAGGTTCAAGCTGTCTTTACTTAAAAGACAAACAATGAACAAAACTTTTAAAAGTTGGCATATTTCAAATTAATTTTACTCCTTTTAATTTAGGGTTAAAATAGAGAAAAAGGAGTTCTTCTGCCCACCTTTTTTTTTTTTAATGGAAGAATAAAATACAGCGATTAAGTCTAATCCACACAACATTCAAAACTCCTTGATGTGAAGGAAGGCATTGGTATGATGTGAATTCCATAACCTTATGATGGACTCCAGAAACCATTTTCTTTCCTATTTAATTTTCAGTTCTTTTATTGCAAATTAATGCCACTGAATTTCAATGGGCACTAATGAGACTGCTCCTTGGTGGATTATTTACTGCCTTGCTAATAATTACAAAGTGAACCTGGTCAAATACAGAGGGGATCACATCTTATTCAAAATTGTTCATCATCCCAGTGATAAGCAGTATAAGTGTAACATGCCCTATCTTACATTTTTTTTGCATTAAATGATATTCAGATACTCTTAGAATAATAAAAAAGACAAGGAACTTAAAAATTTAAAAAAAAACTTGCAAAAATGGGACTCTGTGTGGAAATTCAGTTTTAGGATGATTTTTCCTGTGTTTTGATTCCTGGAAAGTCTTGCCTCTGTTGTTAGAATTCTGCCTTTTATTAACCAGCAAGGAAAAGAAGCATCTATGCAAGTTCTTCATATGGACAGATGTTATTTAGTATTTTTCCCCTCTTAGCTTTTCTGCTTAAGTAACTCTGAGTATAAAGGAAAGGATTGATTAGCCTCTTTTAGGGAACTTTAAGTTTCTTAAGTAGTTATCAAAAGTTTTGAGGCTGAAAGCAGTATTTTCAAACTGCTTGTCATGACCTAGAGGGTCATGGAATCAGTTTAGCAAGTCTAGAATATTCTTTTAAAAGGAATAAAACAGAAAGGAATATAATAGAAAATATTAGAATGTGTGGTATTTAGTAAGGATAAGTTTTGTTTCCTGAAAATCTGTTTTAATTATACATGCTTCTGTGTGCTGATTGTGATGTAAAATGTATTTCTTACTGTGGGTTGAATTCAAAGAAAAAGTTAGAGAGCTAATGGCCTAAAATATTATACGTTCAGTGGAAAATAAAAAATCAGACAACTGTATGGTTGTTTTTATCTGTACAAACCAAAATGCTATTTTGATTATCCTTATTTTTCCCTTACAAATTAGGCTGGTGCCTTTAGTCAGTTAGGCTAAGCTTTGCTATCTGATTCTTAACTTTTTTATTTGTACTGCTCTCCTGAGTGTCATACTGGATGTTCAGAGAATTTATGTGACAGTCACATCATTTAGCTTTGAGATGCTACGGTTAGTTTCTTCCATTTCTTCCATCATCTGCAGCCATATCTATGTGTGAAGAAATGTAATAGATAAAATTTCCCTGGGCGCATAACGTAAGACAGATTGTCACATGCCCCAACAAACTATTGTTAATATAAATTTGTTACTTGGCAAGCTGAAATTTTGCAAGATGTTACCCCAAATTTCACGATGAAGGAAATGGGGATTCATCTTATCCTGGGTTCCTTTTCTGAGTTCAGACAACTTAGGAACTTCAAATAAAACTAAAGATGATGCTTAACTGTATTATCTATCCTTTTTAAAGTTCAAATTAGGAATTTAATGCCACATGCTTATTTCAGTTTTGTTACTCAGTATTCTTAAACATTAGACTCACTTCTCCAAAAAACTTGGCAAATATATAAACCTTTGCCTCAAAACCAATGCCCTGCTAATTTGTTTCCTGGCCATCTGCATATTTTGGACAACTAATTTGTCCACTGGTGATCATTTAAAACTCTTTCTTATCTTTGAACAGAGACTGATTTCCAAAGTGAGATTTAAGTGACTAACTTTCAAGTTTCCAATACATTTTTTTCTTTTACTCAGGTAACATTTCAGCCCCCTTTCTTCCTGATCTTACTTTTTTTGTTAATTTAAATGGTTACTGATTACCTGGCACTTTGTGCTGGTCTAAGAATAGTCCGAGGAGTCACATATTCCCTCATGAATGAACGTATTTTCAGATGAAAACGGAATCACATCTTCAATCCCCATTTCATTTTCACCTCCTCCATGTGGCTTGTACCTGTTTGGAAGAAAGCTCCTGAAGGATAATTGCCACTTATTCTAATCTTCTTTCTCACACTCATTTAATTTGGATCCCTGGCTATAGTTGTTATTTACTTTTGTGAATATATTTAGGCTATGACATTCATAATTTGGGAAAATTCTTAGGTTTGAGAATTTTGGTTTCTTATAGTTTTAAGGATCTGTAAGACAGGTGTAAGAACCTGCCAAAGGAAGGAACATAGATATCAGGAAAAACTAGAAAAGATGCCAGACTTATCATTAATAATGAGACAATAGTAACTTTGTCAAGTGAGATCGTGTATGTGAAAGCGGTATAGAAGCTAAACAAGCATTAGGTTTTTTTACTATTTTATTCACATGTTAATATTTGTTTTGGTGCTTTCATAGGCTAAAAAGCAGGGAAAAAACAGATTTAAGTGGTCAGGAATTTTGTTATAAATATGGAATGATGGTTATATAAAATATCTTTCCATGGAAGTCAAATTTAAGTAAAATCTTTATCACTATCTGAAACATTTATCTGCAGCTGGCTTATCAGGTTATCAGAAAGAACATTTATTTTACAGATACGTTTTAAAAATGTCAAAACCCTGATTATGTGAAAACAATTTTACATAAGGAAATATATGAATTTTTAATTATATTTTTCTGAAATCCATACTCAGCACGAAATTAATACATCTTAACCCCTCCCTGTGACTTCATTATTATTTTTAATGTAACTTTAGAAGAACCCAGTAGAGAGAGCAGCGTGCTAAGCATGTTTCTTTCTTTTCCAGACAACTTTGAATGGAGAGGAGCAAATTAGTCTTTTGGTTTAATTCTGTCTCAGTTTGCTAATCTAAAAAAGAAAAACAGAGTGGCTACAATTGTTTAGAACCAGATGCATACCCCAGGGAAAGATGCCGTATTAATCCAAAAAATACTGCCACTTGAATGCAAACCAGCCAAAGCGAAAGTGTAAGGGATTTCATGGAAAGGAGGTAGTTCATCAAAGTTATTGAGGAGTTTTGTATTTTAAACTCTGCTGTTGAATTGACGTGTAATGTCACTTAAAAAAAAAAAAAGATGTATCTGAGCTGTTCCCTTCTCCATCTCTAAAATATACTCATACTAATCTCTGAAATCCCAGGACTTAAGTGGGCTGGAGGTTGTGGGGAGCACCTTTATAATATTCTTAATCTTATGAGGGAAGAAACCGTAATTGCTGAGTTCTCTGCCTTGGCTAATATCATGAGGGACTATGAAGAAAGCTTTGCATTAATCAATAGAATTTTAAATTATGTGTATATCTTTAGACCCTATTAAAAATAGGAAGCATAGAAAGACAACTATTTTGGTCCTAACCGACAAAATTTTATGTAGTTGAATAAAGTAATAATTTCAAACAGCGTGGGCAAATAAGAAAAAGTATGACTTTCTTACAACCCACTTGTAAGTGATATGGTGTTGGTAATGATCCATGATTTTGATGATGTCAATGATGACGATGGAAATGAAGTGTTAGCCTCAGTTTGGAGAGGTAGTATTTCT